TCAGTTTAATAGGAATTAGTTATGATACTAGTAGATCAATGCTATTTTCTATAAAGTTGCATTACTATCAGTACATATCAATTTGCTCTAGGTCATTGTCCAGTGACTTTGAATTAATTAACAATTTTCAATGTAGATGATAGATCAATGATATTTTCTATAAAGTTACATTACTAGCTTTACATATCAGTTTGACGACTAATTCGAGGCTCTGTCCCCACAAGTCTTGGTCCAGCAACATTTTAAATAAATAAGCAATGTTGATGTCCATCAGATTGTCTCTTTCCTGCGAGATCTATCCCGTTTCAACAGTTGTTTTTTTGTTTGTTTCCTTTTGTTTGGGGATTTGATGTTCAGACCTTTCCGATTTTGTAATTTCTGTCGCTATCGGTTGGGCTATATTTTCAGAGGTATTGGCTGGTCGTAATGTTCTGTGTATTGATCTAATATTTTTCATGTAATATGTGTTCTAGCTTTAATCATCTATACTTACACAAAGTGGTTTGTTGTCACGAGTTTGCAAGCAATTTGCATTTGACAATGTAATTGAATATCTCTTCTCCGAAAAATGATATTCTTACATAATTTTGCGTGGTGAAATCTAAGATATGATATATTACCAGTATACTATTCCTAGGTGAAGTATACTATTCCTACAATGTAGGTGAAATATAGCAAAGTATGTATGTTTTTTTTAATTCAAAATGTGCTCTATTTTAGTCTTAGATGCATGTTTGTTTTAATTAGTTGTTATTGGCTTTGAACTAGCTGTCAGTAACTGCGAGTACTGTCAGATCTGTACTTAGTGTTTTTCTGTTGTGTGGATGTATAAGTACCCGTCCACGTCCACTCTGTGGTTTTGTTAGATGTATTTCTATTTGTATCCATCTGATGAGTTAAGCCTTTTCAACTGATTTGTACAGTGTGTTCTTATGTTGTACTGTTACACCACTGTCTGAGGTTAAGGGGAGGGTTTTGCGCACACAAACTAGTTTAACCCAGCCACATTCTGTTTGTGCCTGTCCCAAGTCAGGAGCCTGTAATTCAGTGGTTGTCGTTTGTTGCATTGTAACGTTTTTGTTTTTCGTTCATTATTTTGTACACGAATTAGGCCGTTAGTTTTCTCGTTTGAATTGTTTTACATTTGTCATTTCGGGGCCTTTTATAACTGACTATGCGGTATAATCTTTGCTCATTGTTGAAGGTCGTACGGTGACCTATAGTTGTTAATTTATGTGTCATTTTGTCTCTTTCGGTGAGTTGTCTCATTGGCAATCATACCGCATCTTCTTATTTTTATATATATGTAATATTTCTATTACATCAAATATACGCATGGATGTTCATGGACCAATTAAAGGGAATTTCAAACCATAAGTAGCAGATCATTCGATTCTTTGAATTAGAAATCTGGCGTTGTAATATAATTTTTATATTATAAATTGGTCCGGACGGAGGAGGGGGAGTGGTGGTCATCATTTTTGTATTTCTTTATTTTTTCAAACAATATTTAGCTCACCTTGGCCTATAAGTTCATGTGAGCTATTGCCATCACTTGGCGTCCGTCGTCACAACAGCCGGCGTCGTAAACTTTTCAAAGATTTTCTATTCTTAAACTACTGAATCAATTTCAACAAAACATGAATTGAATGATCCTTAGGTTATGTAGTATGAAGTTTCCCCCTGTTTAGTCAGCAAATATTGTCGCCATAGCTAAAAATAAAATAGACGGGTAAAATGCATAAATTATCTTATATCTTGAAAACCATAAAAGATAGAGAAATCTATAACAGAGGCAAAAATGCTCTGAATGTCAAAATCTACCTTCCTAATATTTTCACCAAATAATTGTGTTGCATTGTTGCATTTCAAACGAATATATAAATAACAATAACAACAGCAAAAAAAATCGAATAGCAAATTGTGTAATAATTTACGTGCAAGCAAATAAAGGATAGAGATGGAAAACTTTTGAGTCCCGAAGGGACATGGCTGGTCACATATATAGATTTCTACATGCCTATTCTGTTTCTTTTTTGTTGTTGGGCTGTTGTTTTCTTGCGGCAATAATCTTTCCTCCTTCATTCAGACTTCATACACTTTTTATTATATACCTATTATACTTACATTTATGGTATCACCAGCGACGATAGTAGCAGGATTCGAGAAGTAGGGATAACAATCCGGCGGCGGCGGCGTAATCTATTTGTGGAAAGCTTTATATTAGGGTCATTTAAAAAAAATGTCGAATTTTTAAATTGCAAAGTTGATTTAAAGTTACTTATTCAAATAACCCTCGTCATAATCAAATCAAAACAAACAGTACTTATAGAACAACATATAAAAAGATGCAATCTTGATAATGTCATACAAGATTATATTGAAACATTTTTTGATAGGTGGTGCAATATTTTGTCTCTCCTGTTACCATGTTCAAAAGAAATTTCGGGTTATTTAGAAAAGGTTTTGATAAGCTTGTTTTTCGTAGCCAATACGATGGTTTTCAAGAGTAAAAACTTCTATATATATTCATTCTGTGAAATAATAGATTATTCGCCAATTTTCCATGTTGTACTGAAAAATGCCTCTAAAAATTGGTTTTCAAAGGTTATAGAAATAACCACCAGTAATGCAAGTGTAAGATAGCAATTTATAATGTTCAGCATTTGATCTCTCTTTCAAATAAACCCAACATCAAGTAAAATCCCTCGCACGTTGGTTTACTTTTGTCTTTATTTTATTGGTAACAGGAACGTACGTTAATGATATATCACTATATTAAGTTCTATCCTGTTACCTTTTTGTCTATCCTGTTACCGATAGCAGTATTGCACCTGCAAATGCCTAAATTGCGAAGATTAAGACGTTATAACCTTGAGATGAGTTCAAACAACGAAATATTTCATTATGTGTGCAACTATATGTTATTATAAACTTTTCAAAAAATTTTCTGTCTACTATTGTCTATCCTGTTACTGTAACCATAGCAACCATAGTAACAGGATAGACATACCAGGATAGACAAATTTCTTCATTTTTGAATGCTGTTGTGAAATAACTACTCCCTTTGAAGAAGATATAATGTTTTTTATGTGGGGATTTTGGTTTCCAACACGTTATTGCACTTTTTGCAAGTATAATATTGGTGTAATTAATCAATATGTTGGTAAAGCATAGACATGACAAAAAAGTACCCACTATTTTTTTTCACTAAATGTCTTGAAATTTCTTTTCTCTGCACTGTTATACAAGAAACGTGCTGTGTTAAATGTTTAGGTTACTTTGCGCTTTTGAAATCAACACTGACTAGTTCAATATGCATAGGGAGAAAAATTTAACGGCTGATTTCAGTAGCGGTAACAGGATGGACATGAACTTCATGTACGCTGATTGAATTTAGTTTGTAGAAAAAATGTTACATACATGTATAATTATAAAGAAGCTACGATTTTTCGTTAGAGTTATTATTTACGTTCTAAAAAAGTCCCTTTTGCAGATATCAAGGCGATCAGAAAATAGGAAAAAAATCATTTGAAATGTGTTACTCGGACACTGTACGCACATAAATTACGCAAAAATCGGACTTAAATATATTTTAATCTTATCAAAATAGATCTAAATCGTGTTTATTATTAATGTTCTGACTCATAAATCCTACAAACTTTCATTTAAACACTTACAACTGCATTTTCCATTAGAAATACAAATTTTAGCATGGGTGTACTGAAAATTCGACATTTTTTGAAAATGACCCATATAATGGGGTAGAAGACGTTGATGCGTCACTATTAGTATAATGTATACAGAAGTTTCCGTATGTCATATGTGCATTGTCCATTTATGAGAAAGTCTTTCTTTGTTATACGTTTCTCGATAAAACTGCCTAGATGGCTTTGAGTGGGATCCCATCTATGGGGGACGATTCACAATCCGGGGTACTAACTTTTTATTCACATTCACGTTGGCATATCCAAACGGAGTCCTTTAATACAGATTTATCTTTCTTTAAATATCAAATAGCGTTGCTAACAACAAAGTTAGTAATGGTCATTTTGTCAACAGAAATTAGATAACAGATTGATTCCGTTTATCAAAGAAAAATTATTTACACGCTTGTGTATTGAATTAAACATAATTGATCAAATAGAAATATTGAAAAACCGTAAGATTTAAGTTCAATCTTGACCATAAGTATTGACAAATATAAATTTATAATCTAACATGTTTCAGGTGTAAACAAATATTTCGGACATTTAAATTCATTATGAATTTCGAGGTCATTACTATTGAATAAATTACATATGCCTGGTGCACACGAAATGTACACGTTAATAAACTGTAATAGAAATCAACATATTTAGATAGTTTTTAATATAAAATTTAGTACAAAAATAATGTGTGACACATTACCTCATTGCAGTTGTTCAGCGACTGCTTAATAAACTGTATTTTTTTTTTTTTATGTGTATATCTCTTTTATAATGAGTAATAGGATAATTATCTTTTGAATATTGGTACCTTGCAAGGCCTTTATGTCCATCAGACAGGGCTCATATGGATAAGTGATTAATGTTAAGTCAAGTCAATTATCTCAGATACTATAAACAATAGGTCAACTAAATATAGTGTTTGGAATGATTGTAAGGTGTACATGTTCGTCTTGTAGGTGTCGTCTGACCTTGACCTCAAGTTCATTGTTCACTGGTTAATGATAAGTTTTTGTGTTTTAGTCCATTTCTAAGAAGTTATATGCAATATATTAACTATATTTGGTGTATGGAATAATTGTAATGCGCACATGTTCATCTCACAAGGCTCATCTGACCTTTACCTCATTCACATGGATCATTTTTAAAAATGTAACTTTTATGTAAAACTTGTTGTATAACCCTTTTTTCTTAACATAAATTCGATCACGAACAGTTAAGCAGGCGAGAAATTTTAGCGTGTGCGCTCTTGTTTGGTTTTTGAAAGCCTAATGATTTCTATATTTTGCACAGGTAACTGGTAACCGCACACAGATATCGAAAGCAGACTAAAATAAACAAGTTACCTCACATTCTTGCATTGATTTTTTACGACGATCTGTTGTAGTTCCCATCATACGTGGGATCTTTTCATGTAATCATGATAACGAGGTATGCATAATAATTATGAAATTAAGGTTTGGTAGACGCTAGAAACATGTTTAACTGCATTCAGCTGTTTAGAAATACAAACAAAAAACGAATCTTTAAAGCCAATTTATTCCTTTTAAGGTGTAATTAGAAATACAATAACATATCTCCAATCAATGTCAATGCCTTGCCGATCTGAAGAATTTATTTCCTATTTCTGATAGCTCACCAGTACACTCATTGTAGTCTAAAGTTGCAGCAAAGAAAAAATGCACATTGATTAAGTAATGCACATTATTGAAATGAATTCACTGTAATGTTTATTTCTCAGAAATTAAATGTTTAACTGGTTTTTTTTGGACATGCAGACTACTAATGGATTGCATCATTACTCGTTATTAAAGGAACATAACACTTTATAAAGTTGGTGCGTCCGTGGCCCTTTTATGGAATAACCTTTACCAGGAACGATCAAGAATGGCATATACCATGGCTATATGCTGCTGTGTAGTTTCAGTTGAGTTTCATATTATAGAAAAAGACTCGCAGTATGAAATTAATTTTACCTGTTCTTTTTAGAATATGCAGAATAGTTCTGGTTTTCATCATCACTTATATATGTGTTATTGATTCTGTTATGGATAGTGACCATACAAGTAAGTGTTGAAATACGTTGTCTCATTGACAACCATACATCATCTCCTTATTTTTATAGTAATTTATATATATATATATATTGACATTCGGGTTTTTTAAAAAAGGGGAATAAATGAACGTTACACTATTCTGGATTTACTTTCATTAGGAATGTTCAGACCTGAACATTTGAAAGCCAGGGATATTAAGTAGAAATATAGGGAGCTATATGGCCAGACAAAAGAGAAGCAAAATTCAATTAAGGTCAAATTTGCCTGAGGTAGTTTGAACCTTAGTTTCTTATTAATTTCTTAATTTATCAAAAGGGGATTTTTGAAAAATATGTTATTATTCATGACAGTACTTAGGCACCGACTACTGAGCTGGAGATATCCCGGGGACCTACAGTCTACCAGCAGTGGTATCAACCAAGTGCTAGAAGATGAAATAACACCTTAGAAATTCTAAATTTACCTGCATCAAGAAAGCTATAACCCAAACATTTGTGTAAAACAGGGATGTGTAAAAACGTAGAAAGGTTAGATCTGGAGCATGGATGTGATGTTAGCAGCCGGTTCGTTATTCGTTATTCGATATTCAATATCCAACCGGCTGCTAGTAGTCGGTTCGATATTCAAATTGCTTAGTTGATAAAAGTAAAAATCTAATTATTCGATAACAACATGATATTCATAGATAAAAGGAGTAAAATGATATCTAGGAAATCGTTTTATGAACCCTGCAAGCTGTAGTAAATTCCCGTTGCCCTCAAATATAAACCCTTATGTAAATTGCACATTTGTCTTAATGAATTAAATGCAATCAGAGATGTACTTTTTACTAGAAACAAAAACAAACGACCACTTTAGTAGCATTAGTTAAAAATAGAAATAGAAATAATTACGGAAAGCCAAAAAAAAAAGAGATTGTCACTTTTTTAAGCTAAAAATCGTCGAAAATTCAGGTCAAAGGGCACAGGGCGACGGCAAGACCCCCCTGATCTCTCAATCTTCATGAAATTATGCAGATTTTTTAGTTGATATAAAGATACAAATGAGCCCAAAAAGAATTTGGGTAGACTTCTTGTCTTCTATGTTTACGGAGGGCTCAAAGTGCCAGTTTGATATTCAAAATATATAGTGAAAATCAACCGGAGACCGCTTAAATGACGGTGGGACCCCCACTGGTCTTTCAATGGACATGCAATTGAATGATCTTTAGACTATGTATACATACAGATCGTTTTAAAAGGATTTCCCAAAATAATGTTATCTTTGATATCTACGGAGGGCGTACATTGTCACTTTTCATCGAAAAATCGTCGAAAATTCAGGTCAAAGTTCACAGGGCGATGGCTAGACCCCCTAATCTCTCAATCTTCATGAAATTATGCAGATAGTTAGTTGATATAAAAATAAAAATGATCCCAAAAAGAATTTGGGTAGACTTCTTCTCTTCTATGTTAACGGAGGGCTCAAAGTGCCAGTTTGATATTCAAAATTATAATGTAGTGAAAGTCTACCGGAAACCGCTTAAATGACGGTGGGACTCCCCTGGTCTTTCAAATTCCTTTTTGATGTCATTTATATTTATATATTTATATATTTACTAACTATATGCATAATACTATGAAGATTGAGAGATCTCGAAGATCTAGCCAACGCCCTGTGCCCTTTGACCTGAATTTTTATTTGAAAACTGACACTTTAAGCCCTCCGAACATATCGAAGATGACATTTTTCTGGGAAATCCTTTTAATAGCATCTGTATATTTACATAATCTAGATCTACAATAGTATTTAATTTTGTGAATATTGAAAGACCAGAGGGGTCTCACTGTTTTAACAGCGGTCTCCAGAAGGTTTTCACTATAAATTTTGAATATCAAACTGGCACTTTGAGCCCTCCTTAAACTTAGAAGACGAAAAGTTTACCCAAATTCCTGTTGATGTCATTTATATCTATATATTTACTAACTATTTGCATAATATTCGAATATACACTGATTTAAGACATGAACTATTAGCTTCTATTTCAGTTCTTCCTGTCCAAGTTGACACAAAAATTTTGCTTTTTGGATCAACGGTACTCTCAGATGAGCAAAATAGTCATTTATTTAGTTTGGTGCAGAAATATATTATCAAAAGCTGACGTTTTAACCCTTGATGTTACTGCTTCACAATTCAATAGGAACCCAAGCATTTCACACTGTATGCATTACAAAAATTCATGTTTATTTTTGTATTTTCTTTCTTTCTTCTTCTTGTCTATTGTATTTTCTACTTTTTCATATTCATATATTTATTACAGAGCATGCCAGTATTTATATTTATGTATTGTTCAATAAGTGTATTATTTGTGTAAAAGGAGACAGATTTGTAAAAGCAAATTTGCTTGTTTCTGAATCCTTAATATTTATTTCATTTGTATCATAACGTTTAATGTTGATTTATCTGAATAAATATTGTTTAAACTAATATTATGAAGATTGAGAGAAAAGGAAGATCTAGCCAACCCCTCGTTCTTGGATATAGCTGAATATTTAGTCATTCGAAATAATCTTTTTTTTTTGGCTTTCCATAGTTGTTTCTATTTCTATTTTTAAATCTTAATAGAGCGGTCGTTTCTTTTTGTTTCTTGAAATATCACCTTTAAATGTTCATTCTTGATTATATTCTATTGATAAAAATCTAAAGGTCATAAAGAGAAATATTCGATTTACATAAGGGTTTATATTTGAGGACAATTTACGATAACTTGAATTGGTCACAAAAAAGATTTCCTTTATCTCTTAATTTTTACAACTATTAACTACAAACTATCATGCTTTGAATGTTATCAAATGTTTAATTGTTTTATTATTTTCAACTTAGAAAATTTGAATATCGAACCGACTGCTGGCAGCCGGTTGGATAATGAATATCAAATAACGAATAACAAACCGGTTGCTAACCTCACATACATTAACAAAAAAACACATACAAAGAATTCTTCTAATGTAAAATTTGCTTGAGGGAGTTTATTATAATAACCTTAGTTTCTTAACTTTCTTAAATGTGTAATAACGTTATAAACTATGAATTATTTCATCTAAACGACTTGCTACACATGATACGTTTTTCACTCAAAAGTTCACTATGATAAAAATGTGTATGAAACAATAAAATAAGTTCATAATAATCATAATTCAACTTACAATATTTGAATCCTCACAATTCTGTTTCCAACATTATATTTCACACGTCACATTGTGTTACAAAAAGACTTGTCAGTGACAAAATGACGCTGTTATCTGCGCAATCGCAGTCAACTCTAAGCTACGATAGTTTCAAAAATCTCTTTTTACAACAAAATCAAGATCAATCAAAAATTGTCTTTAGTTTCTTTTTATATCTTCTTTGAATATCTCAAATTACTAAATAGTAATTTTTAAGAATAAAAAACCCAATACACTTTAAAAAAATGCACCATTATTAATAGCTTTCCTTGCTTATTCACAATGATGTACAAAATAATTTCCAAACTTAATTTTAATAACTGTCCAGCAAACACACAACATTTTAAAAACATTTTTTTAATGTCATATGGACGTCTCTCACAATTTATTTCAATAAGATATCATTTAAACATAAAAAAAATGTTTATTTTATTGCTTTTGAAATGTTTTATTTCTAACATTTAAGTAAAATGTTTTTACAACATTAACAAAATATTATTTGCTAATATCTTTTATTCATGTTCTCAAACATTGTTCTAAAATATCCCGTAGATATTTTATAATATAAAAAAATAATATTTTCTTCAATTGGTATTTTATATTTTAACAACATTTAAAGTAAATATTTTCCAAATATCCAAAAAACATTCTGTAAAAAAATGTTTTACAGAGAATATAGTTTTGCTATTTGCATAAAATGTTTTATAACGTAAAATTAAAATGTTTTACATAAAACATCTGAAAAATATCAGCTAAATGTTTTCTATAAAATATTCTGACATACACATTACTTAATAGTCTTTCTGATATTTTATTCAACATTTAACGGATATAAAAATAACATTTTATTTAAACTTTATTCAAAACCCCACAAACAACGTTTTGTGGAATTAGCTGTTTTTTTTTCAGGATAAGATATAGTACTACATTTCATCAATATCATGACAAACAAGATACTATGGTTGAAATCCTTAATTGATATCTTGAAGATCCTTGAAGTCAGATTTTATTCCTTCTTTAAATATTAAAATTCAAAAGAGTCAACATTAAATTAAGCAATAATGTATTAATAAACAATCACCTTTCTTTAATGTTTATTCATTTCGTTCGTGTATATTTTAGAAATTAAGAAATGAAAACTGTAACTGTACTAAGTTCAATTTTCGTATCGTTTATATGCCTTACGGAAAACCGACCTTTTCCGGAATCGATTTTTGTTTTATCACCGGAAATGATTTTGAAATTTGAATTTCGAAACGAAGACAGGATATCAACAAAGAGAGCCAAGAAAATTGTTTGTTACGTGATATATACTCACTTGGTAAGAACGATTAATCTGTTAAGATGAAACTTGTGCATTCATTGTGTGTGTTCAATCATAATCGGAACCAAATTACATCTGGTTCTGGAGGTGCGGATCAAGGTTTTGAAAAAAGGGGGGCCCCTGCCCAAGGCAAGCAAACGTTACGGTTTGGAGTGATACTTGTAAATAGTCTATAAGTCTATACATTTATCTTATAAGTAGCTCCATAAGGCAATGTTCAAGCATCTACGTACACCAATTATGAATTTGTTCATTGATATAAAAAAATTATAAGGATATGTGGCTTGTGTGTTTGATTGCCAATACACCTTATCGCTATTTGTCCGCCATTACTGGCCATGGACATCACAAAAGTTCCCGTAAAATGTTGACGTCATATTAGAAAATATTTGACACCACAATTGAAAGTAATACACCTTATCGCTATTTGTCCGCCATCACTGGACATCACACAACTGTCACAAGTTCCCTTAAAATTTTGACGTCATCATAAAAAATATCTGATGCCACAATGGAAAAGTGATTGTTGTTTGACGTCAAAAGTTCAAGCAGGATAGATTCTCGGGTCAAGTAGGAATAGCGATAAGGCGTATTATTGTATGACGTATGCTGACGTAAAAAGATCAAGCAGGACAGATTTCCAAATACTGAAATAGCGATAAGGTGTATGAGACAGCTATCCACCAGAATTTAAATGACTTGGATAAAAGAAATTATAGGTCACTGTACGGCTTTCAAAACTGATGACCAATGCCATATACATTGTAGTCCACTTTGAAGCCTTGCCCTTGACAAACAAATGTTAAATTTTTCTCAACACAATTGAAACAAAACAACTAACTGCCTACATTAAATACACATTATGAAAAAGTCTTTTTGACAGACTTAAACCAACAACAACTATTGCCAATAAGTATGACTCAATACCTTGTTTCCAAGGCACACAAACAAGTTACAATAACACTAATATAAGCACCATTTGAATATGGAGATTTTTTTTCTAGTAAAATCAGTGTATGTATGTATTTGCAAAACAGTAAATTAAATTTCCCTTAACAGCTTAATGAACATTACAAAGACTATGTAAGACTTCAGTACAAGCAAGATAATATAAACTGTTGCTTAAAATTATATTTATTGCTTCATACACACAGTACATACAATGTATCTTTTATTTCTTAACAGGAGCTAAAAGAAAAGCCACAAAGGACAAGTTCAATATGCAGGTTTACAATTTGGAAGTGGCACAGGTTCTTATGAATGTCTACAACCTTTCGGGAGAATTTTTTTTTTGAAGTAAGATTTTCATACAGAATTACTGTTATTCCATAGTTAATTCAAATATTTAGCATAAACAATGCATTACATTCAAGATTAAGGGCATACAATACAGAAAAGATATCTGGATATTTGAATAAATTATTTTTTTTGTGACAAAATAGAAACAAGTTGTTTATTTAAATCAATCTTTTAGTCCAACAGTGTGCTTTCATAAACAACATATTTGCTTTCCTTTGAAGTATTTCAAATACATATAAACAACTCATTTAATGACGTGTGTTTCTCGGAAGTTAAGTTATATTATTATCATCATTGCAGAAACAATGCGTAACACTTCGATAAGTTATTATGTGCCTATAGTATACTTCTAGGACTGTATCATATGCCCTTAGATACAAATGACAAGTTATAAACTACATGTATGTCACTCTACAGAGTTTAACACTTAAAAAGGACAATAAGATGTTTAATGACATTATGTAGCAGGGCTTTTAAAGGCCCCTATATGATACAATGCATTTAATGAAAACTAAAAAAAACCAAGAAAAACAACAGCCTGATTTATACAAAACAATAAAAGAAAAAAAATATGATAGACAACAATCATCGAGTATAATGAAATAAGACTCTTGACTGGACACATATTTAGTCTAAAGTTTTTTATGTGGTTTTTTTTTAATAACTAAATGAAGTTCAGCGTGGCATATTGCTCTCTCTTAACACGGTCAGCCATTTATGGTCCCCTTCCGACAGACTATCATCGTTATTTGTTTCAAAACTTTAAAGTGGAGGGGATGTATATCCTTCAGGCAACGTGAATCGTTCTATAATAAAGGAATGTGCAAGAAGTTTATATGTGAATGTAAGATTAATTTTTTTTTTCAGAAGCATGGCACAGCAAGAAAAAGATATAAGACACTACAAGACATTCCAAGTGATTTTGAATAAGACAATTGATTGACTTTTTCAATGTATTCTTAAATAAATCAAATAGTTGATGTGAAATGGTGTTTTGTTCTCATCTCTTCAGCCAATTATCAATGATTATTGACTTAAGATGTAACCCTATTAGAAGTGTAGTGTTTTAGTTTAGAAAGAGAAGTTGTATTGAAAAATCTGAATTTGGGACACAAGTTTTAGTCAATGTAACTTGAACTTAAAAATGTGTATAATGTTTGCATAATGTCCAATGGCATATATGTCATGCATGTTCAGGTTGACATATGCATGATGTGTATAAGATAGGTAATAAAAGTTGAGAGTGAAAAACTAAACATTATACCATTGTGGTTGGAATGTGGGCTTTCTTGCACTGTCTGTCGTCTGTCCACCTATATTTGTCGGATTTTGTCCAACAAATATTTTCATCACTGTTTTTCCCAAAACTGCTGATAAAGATGAGTTCATATTTAATGAGCTGCTTGATAGTGATGAACTGTGATGTGTGAACATTTTTGTATCGGGCACCTGTTTCCTGTTTGCTTATACATTGTATTTCAAAATGTTGAATGTTCTCAAATTTTTCATTACTTTAATTAGTAATGCTGATGAACAGAATGACTTCATATTTGGTAAGTGGCTTGACCATGATGAGTTGTGTCTGCCATTTTGGATGTGTCAAAATTTGTAGATACTTCTTGTTTTTAGAGAATTTGAATTGTGAATTTCATATGCTTAGCAAAACAACTGATTTATTCTTGTTTGTATATAGAATTAATCACTAATGATTTGTTATTTAAAAAAGCAGGAAACTCAATCAAAAGTACAGAAATTTTTATATTGATATGATCTAGATATCAACCAAAAACATCTTCTTAAAACATTTTGAAAACATTTTTTAGGCAGTCTCACTTGCAAGAAAACATCCAAAAAACATTTTTATAACATTATTTGATGTTTATGATGTTTTTCAAACGTTCAGAAAATATTTCTAGAAAATATTTTTTAAAAGATTATCAAAATGTTTTATACGCCATTGTTTTTCACATTATCATGATATTTCTTTACAACATTTTAATTATATTATGCAAATAGTTTAGAAAATATATTAGAAAACGTTTTAGCGATATATATTCTACCATACATTTAATGTTTTTCTCACGTTTTTTTGTGATATTTTCATGACATTAGACACAACATTTTAAAAACATTTTAAAGATGTTTTTGTGTTTGCTGGGTGTACAAAGGGAAATAATTTAAACTAAAAAATATCAAAATTTATATCTCTCATGTTACATTAGTATTTTCTATATGCCTTTCGTAGACGGGACGTTTATATCTTATACATACTCCATACGTTTATGCGTCCGTAAACATGTCGTACAATTGCTCCAATTTGCTTTCACCAATTCACATGACATTTTAAGAAATATTATTTTTTTTTCTTCAGAGAAACGGGTCAAATTTAAAGGCAATGTTTTCACATATCGGCCGGCAATGATATCATCAAAACTTCACATTTATGTTTGGATTGATAAAAGAAACCATCTTTTCGATTTTGAAAATGGTCTTGCTTGTTTTCCCAGAGTTGCGTACTTGGAATGTCATATTTAAGTAAATTTGTACCATAACTTGATTATGCTTTGGTTAACTTGGAAATTTACATAACTGTTTGAATTGGTGCAGTGGGAAATCTAGTGAACGAAGACAATAGAAAACTCACTCTTCTTATGAAAAAGTCGAGAAATAAATAATAAAACAATGTAATACAAAATCTAAAGATCTTTCCGGTCACGAATTTTCAGGGTGTTCCACAAAGTCCTTAGCATGTTACAATTTAACATAAATATATTTATTTTTCACATCTAAGTTTTCGAGTACACTGGTCTGCTCTTGCCACGTGAACATTCAATATAGTTATAATGTCTTTTCGTGAATGTGACAATTTTAAATTCTGTCTGTGCAGGTTAAAAAAAAGAAAAATAAATATTTTTATAATTAAAAGTATGTATCTTTGTACTATTTTTTATACAATTTTAAGAAAAGGTCGTCTCGATTTTTTGTACATGTATTTGCGGTCTTCTCAATCTAATTCGGTGAGTCCATTTGAATTTGCTTGGTAACTTAATTTCAATAGTGCTTATCTTTGCTGCATATCAATCGATTTCTTGGGATTTTTTTCCTTGACTTTCTCTGATCAAGTTTTATATATATATGGATAATTAGCATGTTCCAGAGAGGTATACAGCCAATAGAACAATAAATTGAAGTTGGTACTCCAGGAATTTATTCGCATAGCAACATTTTACATCAAGCTCCTATAGCAAGCTGTATTCTTCGTTTGCTATTTAAGGAGGGAAATAATAACATTAAATGGAAGTTTTGTTTTTATTTCAATTTATATCTGTTTTTTTATTATTTACCTGAGCGTTTTCCCGTGAAGTTATGACAGATAGCGTCCTTGATGGGACAAACATTGAAAAGATTTAGTGTTCAATGTTAACAAGGGAGGTTGTGTTACTAGATTTTCCACTGGGTGACATAAAATTAAATTTGATAAAAAAAAAATGTCATTTAAAAATTATCTTACTTTGGCCAGCAGAATAGTGAAAGGTACTAGCTATAGCTTGGATCAATTTACCTGAATTTTACACTGTTGTTGGGATTGGTGATTGTAGACTGGCTGTTTATTTTGAAAATTTTCCGGTTTGTCATTCCAGAGTAATGAGACTTAGAACAGTCATATGTGATACAATATGTATACGCCTGCAGATATCCCAATGCATGATGTCTACAGAAATGAATGGACACATGTGTTATGTAAAAAAAAACCAAGCATTTTTGTCTAATTGAGAAACAAACCAAGAAAGCGCATAAGTTGCATTTTAAGTTTTTCATATGAATGGTGAGTATAGTATGGATAAAAGTAAATGAGATACCAATCCCATCCCATTAGATACCGGAAGTTTGTTCATGATTGCCAAATGTGAAGTACAAATTTTAGATCACAGTTATTTTTTTTCTTTTAGTTGTATGGAAGTTGAAAGTACCAGTATATTTTAGAGGAAATGCATCTATTTTATGCATGATTCACGAGGATGACAAACCAGGGCACATGGCTTGGACTAAAGCAGGGAAACTCATTGGTATAAATAACGTTTCACTCTATTCTACAAAATATGACGTATTTATAAAATACAACAATAGTTCCATGTTGTACTGTCTTGTTATAAAGAATATTGACATGGGAGATTTAAACTTAGTGTATAAATGTGAGTCTGGATTCTCATCTGCAGAAGGAATTCTTTCTCTGAATGAGGATACGTTTGTAGGTAAGACACGTACATTAAAATTGCTACAATTGTTGTATGACGAAATTAGTTATTTGATAATTATTTTACTGCCCAATTGTTAATTTTATGGCCCGTAAAGTGAAGTCGGGGCCATATAGTTTTATTATTGTCTGTCATTCCGTCATTTCGCCATTCTGCATTCCGTCATTCCGTCATAACGTCATTTCCCATAAACAGTTATACAGACTTTTTTTTTCTAAACGCCTCAACACATTGAGCTAATTTTAGTATGTGAGTCTACCATGATGAGTTACAGATCGGGTTTACGTTTTGTTCTACTCCGCTAATTTTTGCCGAAATTACGGGCTTTGGATTTTGGAAATGTCGTAAAAATACACAAAATTGAGAATGGAAATGGGGCATATGTCAAAGAGACAACAACCTGGCCAAAGAGCAGAAAACAGCCGAAGGCCACCAATGGGTCTTCAAAACAACGAGAAAATCTTGCACCCGGAGACGGGCTTCAGCTGGCCCCTAAATAAAAATGTGTACTAGTTCAGTGAAAATGGACGTCATACTAATCTCCAAAACGTATAAATGAACTAAAATTAAAAAACATACAAGACTAACAAAGGCCGGAGACTCCTGACTTGGGACAGGCTCAAAAATGCAGTGCGGTTAAACATGGTTTGTGAGATCTCAAACCCCCTCCCCCCTATACCTCTAGTCAATGTAGAATATACAAACACACAGCAATACGCACAGTAAAACTCAGTTCAAAACAAACTAAGCAAAATGACAATGATACATACATTAACAAAGGACTACTAGCAGTTACTGACATGCCAGCTCCAGACTTCAATCAAACTGATTGAAAGATTATGTCTTCATCATATGAAAATCAAGCTCAATCCCTCCCGTTAGGGGTTTAGTATCATACCATCATAAAATATATGAGAAGAACATAACCCGTGTCATGCCAACAACTGGTTTTAGAACAAATGTGTTTATTTCCTTTGCAAAGACCCTAATGAGTTAATCAATATTAATACCAAAATATGTCATTTTTCAATGACATGACAATAGTATCATAACCATATCCCTTCTGATTAAGTCTGTTTAAAGGTTTGGTTAGCTTTTGAGGTGAATGTCGACATTTTTGTGCTTAGTAAAGAATATTACCATAAAAGATTGGATGTGAAATACCTGAACGTATAAGATGTCTACATGTTGTTTTATATTTACGAATGATGTCCTTGTACCGATGATAAAATTTAGTAAATGTTTTGACTAGTTTGTGATATCGAAAACCCTGTTGTAATAATTTTTCAGTAATACAGAGATTTCTTTCGTTAAAATCAAATACGTTGTTAAATACACGAGCGAACCGAACATGTTGAAATATATAAACACCATAAGATGGTGACAAGGGAAACGTCACTATCCAAAAATGGATAATTAACAATAGGAAATGAAAAATCGTTTCTTTTATCATAAATTTTGGTATTAAGCTTCCCGTTAAAGATATAGATATCAAGATCCAGGGAAGGGCAGTGTTCATTGTTAGTATTAGCTTTATTTAAAGTCAGTTCAGCAGGATAAATCTCTTTAGTGTACATACTGAAGTTTTCATTATTGAGAGCTAATATATCATCCAAATATCTAAAAGAGTTATTAGATTTTTGTATCAGATGTTGTTTTTGGGTCTTTGCTGATTTTAGTCATACATTGTAACTTACAACAATACAGAAACAGGTCCGCAATAAGTGGTGCACAGTTAGTCCTCATTGGAATTCCTATAACTTGACGATATACGGAATCACCATAGCGAACAAAAATGTTATCTAGTAAAAATTCAAGGGCAGTTATAGTATCAAAGCAGGTCCAATTGACATAGTTCTTTTGTTTGTTGTTACTAAAAAATGACCTAAACGAGTTTGAACATATGTATTCGCATTCTGACTTTTTTAATGCCCATTTAATTAGGTGTGTGAATTTTTTCTTAATAAGATAATGAGGCAAAGTGGTATATAGGGTAGAATAATCAAAACATTGAACAGATTTGAAATCACCAATATAAGTATGCAATTTATCAAGTACTTCCACCGAGTTTTTGACACTCGAAAAGTAATAAATTCCACTATTTTCAAAGGCCTTATTTGAACAATTTATTACAAGGTTTTTGATTGTACCAAGTGTACTTGTAAGTAGAATAGTCAGTTTAGTAGTGGAACAATGGCTTGAAGACGAAATAAATCTATATTTGTAAGGTGTTTTGTGCAGCTGAATTTTTCTAAACGCTTTCACATATTGAGCTGATTTTTAGTATGTAAGTCTACTATGATGAGTTACAGATTGAGGTTACGTTTGGTTCAGATCCACTGATTTTTGCCGAAATTACGGGCTTCGGACATTGAAAATTTCTACTCTAAAAATGGCTTCAAGCTTTTTTAGCGAGCGGGGCCATTCGTGTCGTTCCGACACATATAGCTTCATCATAGACGTACAAAGCTACTTACAAATGTATAACATATGTAAAAATGTGAAAATTATTACTGTATCGAATATGAAAGATCAAATCAAAGATATACTAATCATATGGGATACACATTATTCACATTTGTGGTGAAAATGCAAAATGCGATTAAAATATGTACTCCCTTTTCTCATTTACCGTGTTTACAACCAACTTCTAATGAAATTGTGACTGTATTCTTAAATTGGCAACTATATGAAAGACGGAGATGTGGTATGATTGCCAATTAGCATCATATTTTTACAAATGTATATGTTCAACATTTATACTAGATACAAATGATAGCAGATGTCAATAGAACGGAAAGCTATAACAAATTATCAAAAACTTAAGTAATAATTCAAGGGGCTTGAATTTATTATGATTTTACCACGGGTTGGCCCTTTATGTAAAATATTTTACCACGAGCGGTAGTGTGGTAAAATAAATATAAATTCTAGCCCAATGGATTATTTCTATTCTAATAGGACAAAAACAGCAATTCTTTTGATTTACGATAACATACTTAAGACATGCATGGGCGAAGCTGATTGATTATCTTACTTTTATTTAAGTAAATGGTCTTTCAACAATTCTGATCATTGTTTGTTTATTTATTCATATTTTGACGACTTTCAGTTGCAAATTCGTGCATTCTCCCGTATAATGATTATACTCTAACGTCATCGTTCAATGACGTCATTTACACCGTCTGCCCTCGGGTAATTCATTTATAAAAAGCAAACGACGTGGGAGAAAGATTCGAACAGCCCAAACAATCCATGACGTTGACTATCAGCTGACATATCAATATAATCATATTTTACCACGGGTGTGTACTCAAATCGTTTGAAGAACGTCATATAAGAATCAAATATAGATACCACACACGAATGTAACATACCATCCGATTAATATTATATGAGTAAAACAAATCTCTTTTCTCATTGGTTAAAAACATCTAACTAGGGAATCTTCTTTGATGAAACGTTAAATTCACCGCGGGAAAAAATCACAAGAGGTTAATGTAAGATTTGGAAGAGCTAACGTGTACCTATAGATAATTTTTTCCAAGGCTACGTCAATCACGGTGGCTTATTATGTCATGCACATTCTCATATTTCTTTTTTATTCGATGTTTTTTAATTTAATCTTATTGAATATTTCAACTTCATAAAGTTTAAAAACTGCCAAAGCAGATAATATATTTAGTATAAAAGTAACAGTTAAATATCTTGAGCAAATACTAGAAAATTGAAATGGCGATGAATAAAAAAGTAGCATAATAAAACAATTCTTAAATTTTGATATCCGTTGGTACAATGATTTATCAACTCCGTAGATAAGACATTTACCCTTGGTCGTTTGCTTCGGTCAATATCATATCTCTGGGATTGATAAATCACTGTATCAATCTAATCAAATGTCAATAACTGTTTTATTATATTACTTTTTTTCACCATTTCCCGGTATTATGAACAGATAACGTATGCCTATACATAGTTTGTCCAAGGCAACGTTAATGATGTAGGTTTAAAAACAGGGAGCAGTTAAATATCATTACCGAAAAAAGGAAAATAGAGATGAAAAAAGTAGTTTAATAAAGCAATTGTTGACTTTTGATATCAGTTAATACAATGATTTATCAACCCATTAGATATGACATTCACCTCGACCAATATCATACCTCTGGGGTTGGTAATATTCAATTATTGTCTTTTGATGAGTTTGATACAAGGATTGTTTTAAGTTATACACCTGCTTATATGGAACTGTTTGAGGATAGTTTTCTCACATTTTTCCAGACTCGGGAAGTTAGTCATTTTTCAGAAAAATCTATAAAAAAATGGTAAAACTTTTGTGTAATCAACTTCTCCTAGCTATAAAACCAGGTTCAATCCACCATTTTCTAAATATGAAAATGCCTGTACCAAGTCAGGAATATGACAGTTGTTGTCCATTCGTTTGATGTGTTTTGTCATTTGATTTGCCATGTGATTGGGACTTTCCGATTGAATTTTCCTCTGAGTTCAGTATTTTTGTGATTTTACTTTCTACAGTTTTCAATCCAGAGACCTGATACTTCACGGGGAGATCGAACATTTGTTGAAGTTGTGCATCTGCAATTATGGAAGTCTTTGATGAATATCTTCTTATTTTTCAGACTTGACAACTTAATTATTTTTCAGCAAAATTTATGAAATAGGGTACAAGTTTTTTGTAATCAATTTCTCCTACAGTTTTCAACCCAGATCCCTTGAAATGCACCTATATTGAAGTTGTGCACCTGCTATTGTGGAATTGTTTGAGCATTTCTTTTTCTTTTTATCAGATTTAGTCATTTTCAAATATTTAAATGTTTAGTATAAAGCATTCTCCATTGTTTTACAAACATTCTGCGCACCTGGCAATTTGAGTCTTTGATCTATTTCTTAATTTATAAACAGAAAATGTTAGAAAGATACATTATAAATCATGCCAGTTGACTTCTGAGCAAATGATACCTTCGGGGACTAATTAGTTCACCATCAGCAGTTTTGAAAAAAAGTAAAATAACAAAAATAACCGCGCTCCGAGGAAAACTCAAAACGGAAAGTCCCTAATCAAATGGCAAAATCAAAAGCTCAAAAACATCAAACGAATGGATAACAACTGTCACATTCCTGACTTGGTACAGACCCATTGATGTAGAAAATAAGAATAACCTTTATAAATTTTATGCGTCGGAGGCGCTTTTCTGGATATACCTTCATCATTTTCACAGCGGTTCGAGAAGAATATTTCTCTAATCTTGTGCTATTTTCACATTTCTTGATCGGTGTGAATAAAATATTTCTCCTCACTGGTGAAATATCTGTTCTCGGCAAAAGATTGGTCGAAATTTAATTATGACGTCAAATTTTCTTGATTTCTTCTTAATTTTCCTATTGTGACGTCATGAAAAAAAGGCGACCATGCCTGATGACGTCACATATAAAAACACAAATTTCTGAAAATCTTTGAAAAGGAAGGATAAAAACCATTAGAGAAACAGATTCCACCACTATAACTCGTGTATTACGATATTTCTCCACTCTCAACAATTAAATTTTAATTATTTAAAAAGCTCGGCAAGCCTGGCGCTTTAAATATAGAAATTCAACTGTCTCGAGTGGAGATATATCGTAACACACTTGTTGCAGTGGTGTTATCTATATTTTCATCTCTAGAGAAAACTTTGTTCTCGGCAAATGATTGGTCGTCATTCAATTATGACGTAATTGTTTCTTACTTTCTTCTGAAGTTCATATTGTGACGTCATGAAAAGAGGCTACCATGTCTGATGACGTCACATATAAAGAACACAACGTTCTGTAAAACTTTGAAAAGGGAGTATAATTGTTGTTTAGGAATCGTCTAAAACTCATTCAAGACAAACAGATTCCATCACTTTATCTCATGTATGACGATATTTCTCCACTCTCAACAGTTGAAATTAAAAATTTAAAAAGATCGGAAAGCCTCGTGTTTTAAATTTTTTAAATTAAACTGTCTCAAGTGTAAAAATAACGGAATACAATTGATGCAGTGGTGGAATCTATATTACTTTCTGCAATGACAAAATAAAAGTATCGACATTATGAAGAACCGTAAGTGGTAATAACTATTTATATTTTGATAGATTAATAACAAGATCATGTCAGTAATACAATATTCAAAGATCTTATTACCGTGATAATTGATAACCTTTCAGAATAATTTATTCAATGGATCGATAAATTTACATGGATTGTATCTGTAATTTAGTTTTATCGAAATTCGTCATTCGTTGAATAAAATCACATATGATCTTCACCGTCTTCGATCTGTTGATATCTGATCTGTAATTAAAGTCGTGTCGTTTTATCGATTGTGACACTTTAATTGGAAATTCCTCCTTCACTACATACATTACTGAATGTGTTGTCACTTTCATGATGATTACATCTGTATAAAGTTAAAATTTTTCTACGGACCTCCAGGAAAATAACTTGCCTGGATTTAATAATTCTGGATGTTAACTTTTCATGAAGGCCATACTTATACATTGTTTTGTATTTGTTCAAATAATCGATAAAGTTTAATAAAATACCTGATATATGGTTGTGTCCTCTTTACTATATTTTAAATCATTTCAATTTCAGGATAAAAATTGCATTCAAATGAAGTTATACAAATGTAAAATCTATGTTTTAATTTTCTAAAACCTATCCATACTTTAACTTTAGTGGTTTGGTTTATCATTTTGGTCCCGTAGATGTTTTTCAAATAGGAAAAATTATTGTGCAATGAAATTAATTTTAGATAGTTGAAGAAAACTATAGCGTTCATAGTGGGTTTGTATGAACATCAAGATTGAATTTTGCATGTTTTAAGTGCCATTTTCTGTTTGACAGTCCGTATTTTTACATCCGAACTCGCTATAGGTCCAGAAACTATGGTGGTGTTTTCCAACATTTTGTTTTCGCTCGAACTTTTTAATTCAATTTCGGGAAAAATAATTTGAAATGTATATGATTTTTATTTAACCTTTTTATAATGTCAATGGTTTCCGAAAGGTATCACTCAAATGGATTGAAATTTTACTTGGGATGAATTTATAGGGACATTTGAATCATTTTCATCCCCTTTTTTCAATACTTTATATCAAATAAATGCAGATTTTTGTCATGAATACACCAAAAAGAGATTTAAATTATTGGAAATCAAATCTATAGCTATGTCCCTTTATAACAAAAAACAAATATTTAATTTACCGTTTCCGCTCTCTAACTAAAATTTACTTTGCCACAATCAAATGGTCTGAAACGTTTTTCTTAGAAAACAGGGGCAAGAGGGTGGTGATGGATTATGAGGGTCAATTTTCAATTGTTTTCTTAACTGTGTATTGCTACCTTAGTTTACCTTGATCAAGTTATTTTGAATCTTATACAAAATGCTTATTACCACGAAATACAGATCAAGTTTGAATTTGGGTTGCTTCACTTTCACTGTTCTTGAGTAACACCATTACTGTTTGTTATTGAACAGCGAGAGCACTCAAACCCCCGAGCAATCTCTAATGACAACATACAGAAACAAATGTCATTAAGTTTCAAAGAAAAACAAGATGTCAATAGGTTTTAATTATTAACTTGGCCCTTGCATATTTTCAAACGGGGAAAAATGTGTCCCATGGTCACATTTTTCGTTTATTTGCAATACATTTCTGAATTAACAATAGCCGTTTTGTAGGTAAATTATTACGAGAAATGTTCACGACGGACTTCATTTACTTCTATATTTATGCTTATCGCGATGGAAATCTCAAAATGTCAAATTGTTACTTCTCAATATAATAAAAGTAAAAAAAAATCTTAGCTTTGTGTTATTATATCTAATTGATCATTGCATATCTGATTTGATTTTTCTAATCGCAGACTCTTTACACGTCGACTCTTAGTAGGCTTCTCGCTGCAAGATAATATGACATGCAAAGACTATAATCATATTATTCCCTGAAGAGATAATTTGCATCAGTTTTTAATTTCAATAAACTAGTGAACGAGGTGTTGATTGTTATTCTATTTTGATTTATTGTGAGATTGTCCAACAAACAATGATCATACATATTCGTTTTCAAACCGGTAATTTTTCTAAAAATAAATTAAATCGCCGTTCATAAAATGTGTGGTATTTGACAAATTAAACAGTAGTGCACATATCTCTGCATGTTTCTACTGTTAAAATCAAATCATCAAACTGAATCTTTTTACAATATTATTTTAATAGCAAAACCACAGAAAGAAGATATAACAAGGAATTTTACATTAAAAGAAGGGTATATTAAAGCGTTTGTAGAAGTTTCATCCGTCTACCCGAAACCAAGATGTATTGCAGTATTTAAGGTAAAATATGTATCGCTTGATCATCAAACGAAAGTATTGTTGATTTATTATTTACTTGCTTCCTCGTCTTACTTGTTCAAGATCAATGATTAGATATGATTGGGTCAACAACATAATTTGAAATTAGAGGTTGATGCTTCAGTCAAGCAGGTAAAATTAAGATCCAAAACAAACATTTGGTTGATTCCAAAGTCGTTGCTATATACATAGGCAGAGCAATACGTCTTTCTGCAAACGTTTATTCATGGATGTATAATCCCACTCATTGGGTTGGTTTAATACAAAACATAATATAACTATTTCATGAACACATATGTTGTCGCCCTAAATATGCATGAAGTATTTACAATTTACAAGTGTGCGGTATCAACCAATCATTCAATCACAAAAACAATCAATTTTAGCTACTGTCTGCAAATTGCATATAATCATCAGCAGGCAACTAAGCTTTTGATATCTGAGGTAGTTTTATCGTAAACATAAATGAACATTAATGTCTGTGCTTTTTGCTCTCTTGTAGAGAGTTGTCTCATTGGCAACATACCACATGCACTGCTGTATCCATGTAGTGTGTATCTCTCTTAATAACTTCGCATTTTATCTTGTTACCATTGTTTCGTTGGAATTATCGAAAAATTCGGAATACGAATTTCCGCTTAAAAGCCTTGGTTTATTTCTCAGATGTTTTTATGGTATTCCAAACTGATAACATTTTCAATAAGAGAAAATTGAAGCGAGAACAATTGTTCTTTTTTGTTGTTGATAATTTCTACTTACAATTCAAGGAAGATTATCAATACGGGTTTGACTTACATTTGGCTAATGAAAAGCATAAGACATATAGCTAGAATAATATGTCTGTCACCGTTCAAAATATCATGCATATGGAGAGCTGGGATACATTCTATACATTTATATATTCAAAATGAATCTATCGGTTTCATCAAGGTGTTCCTAAAATGTCCTAAAAATGTGTAATGTTAGTCGTGCATTTGAATAAAATACCTTTGATCATTATTTACCTCTTGTACTATCAGTATGTTGTTCGTCTATGAAGCGCAATTGAGAAATGCAAACATTAGATGTTCAAAACACGTAATAAACTGTACCAAATCATAGAGAAATGTTTATTATCGTGAACTGATTTTATCGTATATCGATTATATTAAAGTAGCTGAAACAATTAACAGCCTTTTTTATTCATGAAAGAAACAAATCAAAAGAAGTAAGCCACGTTTCCATCATAACTGGGGCTATCTGACAACGGCAGAACATGGTTGTATCAGTCAAATTTCAAACACAACAATTAACGAGTCGGTTATTCGGTGTTTCATTTAAAAGTTCCAATTTCTTTCAATGGTATATTTGCCAGATGATATATGCAATTTTCTAGCAGCCTGTATTATAACCAGGATTATGTATTATTATAAGATGTGGATACTAAAAAATTCCAAAGATCTTTTAGAGTACATACAATCTCTTTCATCTTGCAATAGTATTAAAACATTTGACTTTTCTACACTTTACACAAGTATGCCCCATTCCAAACTTAAAGATAAATTGAAAGAGTTGATATTGGTTTGTTTCATAAAAAAGAATGTCCAATGTAGATAGAAATAGCTTGTTTTAGGGAGGGATAAATCCTACTTTGTGAAAAACTCACTTTGATTCAAACAAAAAATTCTACTAACTGAAATTAGCAAGATGCTTGATTGCTTGATTGACAACATATTTGTTACATGTATGTTTGGAGGACGTGTTTTTCAACAACCTATCGGCATTCCCATGGGAACCAATTGTGCCCCTCTTCTTATCGACTTGTTCCTTTATTCTTATGAGGCTGACTTCACACAGGAACTTCTTAGGAAGAAAGACAAGAAGTTAGCAGTATCCTTTAACTTCACTTTCCGCTATAAAGATGATGTTCTCTCACTAAATAATTCAATATTTGGTGACTATGTTGAACGCATCTATCCCATCGAACTTGAGATAAAGGATACTACATATAAAGTTAAGTCTGCCTCATATCTTGACTAACATCTAGAAATTGACTATGAGGGTCGTTTGAAAACAAAACTTTACGACAAAAGAGATGATTTCAGCTTCCAAATTGTGAACTTTCCATTTCTATATAGCAACATTCCAACAGCGCCTGCTTACGGAGTATATATCTCCCAATTGATACGATATTCCCGGGCTTGTATTTCCTATCATGATTTCCTTGATAGAGGGTTGCTGCTCACAAGGAAGCTATTAAACCAAGATTTCCAAATGGTGAAGTTGAAATCATCCCTTCGTAAATTTAACGGACGCCATCACGAGTTGGTTGACCGTTATGGAATATCCGTTTCACAGATGATAGCGGATATGTTCCTAATGTCGTAACTACAATCCTGTCCCCTTTTCACGTATGTGACCTACCGAATTTGACTTGTTACCGGGTTTGTACTAACATGATCAACACGACGGGTGTCACATGTGGAGCAGGATCTGCTTACCCTTCCGGAGCACCTGAGATCACCCCCAGTTTTTGGTGGGGTTCGTATTGCTTAGTGTTTAGTTTTCTATGTTGTGATTTGTGTACTATTGTTAGTCTGTTAGTCTTTCTTTTTTAGCCATGGCGTTGTCAGTTTATTTTCGATTTATGAGTTTGAATGTCCCTCTGGTATCTTTCACCCCTCTTGTATATAAAGTAAAGTTGAGTGTTATAAAATTGTAATATATATATATCGACAGTAACGCCAATCACCGAAAATATAGTGAACTCATTGTGTTTGTCCTGCAGCGAACTGTCGCATTAGCAATGAAAGACACCAGTCGTATAATTCTTTACGTCAGATGCACGTTTTGTCTACATACGAATCATCGGGTTTGACCAAATCATAAACAGTTTCAAATAAATAAGAAAGGGGAAAAGCATGGCAATCCAAATATTCCATGTAGTTGTTCCACAGGAGGAGGCATGAGAAGAGCAACTATTTGGCCCTTATAACTGCAAAAAGAGTTAATTTATTCAAGCCTTTTAAAACTAAGTGTATTGATAACATGAATATGTTAATATAATCTAGACACTTTGGTGCAGATCAGTTAATTTGAGATATGGAATTATCAACGACACTTCCGTGGAAAGACATTTTGAATTTTTTCTGATTATTAAGTTTTTCCACTTTTCCGTGGAAAGAACTATTGATTTTGATCCGATTATTAGGTCTTTACACTTTTCCATGGATAGACCTATTAATTTCGATCTGATTATTAGGTCTTTACACTTTTCCGTGTTACATATTTTGCTTGTTACAAGAAGCCAAGTCCCACGTGTTGAATCAGCCATCCATCCAACCAACCAACCAACCATCGATCAATTAATCATTGTTTCGAAGGGCAAAGATCGTTCACAATTGTATTTTAAACAATTGATAAATAATATTTTGTTTTCTTCTTCCGCCAAATTTGTTTCTTGCGCTGTATTGTTGTTTCCAAAGATGTTGCTTTTATATTTTGCATATGATGCAAAGAGTTATTACACTTTTGAAACTCTCCTGGTTTAGCCGAACACTTTTCATTGTATCACCCAAAACACTGTTTTACTTGTTTCCACATCTCCTTTGTAACAAAAAAAAAGATATCGACAAAATTCTTATTCTTAATTGTTCATTGCATCCTCAGGAAGTTTTGACTGATTTGTACCGAAGCGATCCAGTGACATCTGATAGGATACATCTATCCTTCACAATTTATTGTTTTTGTAACTCATAAACCGTAAGCAGTATAGACATAGGGTCTTTATTGTTGAGGTCTTTGGTTCTTTACTTAACAAATGAAGCAAAGGTCAAGGTCATGTTCTAAATTGTTGCTTTTGCTTGTTCCTGCATCTTCACTGAAAAGTTTTAAGACGGATATATGAGAACTAACGCAAAATGTTTGTTTTATTGTGATGAGGATATGATACATTGAAATCTTAACTGCCTATGAAATGTTTCAATTGAAGGTTAATTAATTATTACTTCAATATGGTTCATGATAAAGCCATAGGGTCTTTTGCAAAATGTTGGGTGACATACGAGAAATGTCAAGTGACCTTGAGTAAACCGCAAGAAGCCATGTTTGCACTTTTTAATTGGCATCCATAAATTATCACGTGAGACCAGAAGTGACCTTCTAAAAACCGGAAGTTGCTAACTATCTCTCTTATTTCAGGCTAAGGTATATCGAAACCATATATTTTTGCAATCACTGTAAAAACAGATATTATTTGAAGGCGGAAGTGACATTTTCCAAACTGGAAGTTAGCAAATTAGCTCCCTTATTTAAGGCAAAAGTATATGGAAACCATATATTTTTGGAATCAGTTAGAATAAATTATCAAATGAGATCAATAGTGACATTTTCTAAACCGGTAGTAGCAAATTATCTCCCTTATTGCAGATAAAAGTAAGTATGTCGAAACCATGCATATATGTTTTGAATCAGTATGTAGAAACCTATTATTGGACGTCAATATAACTTTTGGTTAACCGGAAGTAGATTTTTTATCGATTATTTAGAAATTTAATTTTGAAAGACCTTCTTTTAAAACCTTTGGTTTTTATTTTATTTTCTTCTTCTGCCAAACGTTTTTCTTGTCGTTTAAAGTGGTTTCGCGAGATGTCGCTTAGATGTTTTGAATATTATATCGAACAGTTATTGCACTTTTTAAACTCACCCTGTTTAGCCGAAGACTTTTTGTCCCCCGCGAACGCGTTGCGGAGGACATTGAAATACCATTCGATTCGTCCGTGTGTTCGTCCGTCTGTGCGACCGTCCGTCCGGTAATGTAAGCGCTGTCACATGTACAGTTTTTGCCAGATTTTTATGAAACTTATATCATATGTTTATTTCAGCAATGTCTTAGACGAGTTCGAAAATCAGTGCCGATCTATTTTTTTAAAGGAGTTATTCCCCTTTGAAACATTAATTATATGGAAAATTGTATTGTTAGCGCTTTCATATGTACAATTCTTGACAGATTTTTATGAAACTTATATTATAGATTTTTATTAGTAATGTCTTGGACGAGTTCGAAAAAATAGTGCCGATCTATTATTTTTAAAAGAGTTATGCTCCTTTAAAACATTAATTATATGGAAAATTGCATCGTTAGCGCTCTCATGTGTACAATTCATAACAGATTTTTATGAAACTTATATCATAAGTTGATTTCAGAAATGTCTTAGACGAGTTAAAAATCAGTGCCGATCAAGTATTTTTAAAAGAGTTACGTCTCTTCGAAATATTGATTATATTTAAAATTGCAATATACGGGCTCTCATGTGTACAATACTTGCCAGAATTTTATGAAACTTATATCATAAGTTTATATCAACAATGTCTTTGACGAGTTCGAAAATCAGTGCCGATCTATTCTTTTTAAAAGAGATATTTCCCTTTGAAACATTAATTATATGGAAAATTGCATTGTTAGCGCTCTCATATGTACAATTCTTGACAGATTTTTATGAAACTTATATTATAGGTTTATATTAGTAATGTCTTGGACGAGTTCGAAAGATAGTGCCGATCTATTGTTTTTAAAAGAGTTATGCCTCTTTAAAACACATTAATTATATGGAAAATTGCATCGTTAGCGCTCTCATGTGTACAATTCATAACAGATTTTTATGAAACTTATATCATAAGTTGATACCAGAAATGTCTTAGACGAGTTAAAAAATCAGTGCCGATCAAGTATTTTTAAAAGAGTTACGTCTCTTCGAAATATTGATTATATTCAAAATTGCAATATACGGGCTCTCATGTGTACAATTCTTGCCAGAATTTTATGAAAATCATATCATAAGTTTACATCAGCAATGTCTTTGACGAGTTCGAAAATCAGTGCAGATCAATTATTTTTAAAAGAGTTATGCCCCTTGGAAATATAAATTATATGTAGAATTGCCTGATGAGCGCTCTAATGATTTTTTAACCGGTAGTGCCTATGTATTGCCAGGCAATACTCACAGAATGCTTGTTATTTTAAGAATTATCTCCCCAAACATTGCTTTCCTTGTTTTATTTATTTTCAGTCAAAGGTAAATAGAACCCATATCCATATAGGAATCAGTGTTACTAAAGCTATCATATGAGACAAGAAGTGACCGGAAGTAGCAATATATCTCCCTTATTTTAGGAAAAGTATATAGATATCAAATTTTTTATCAAAATCAGTATGGAAAAACCTATAATCGGGTGTCAATAGTAACTTCGAATAAACCGGATGAAGCTTCTTATCAATTATTTTGAAAATTTAATGGTGGAAAATTGTTTTTCAGAACAATTGGCTTTTAATCTTAAACTTTTATACATTTTAGAACAGGGACATAACCAGGTATTCAGTGACAAATTATACTAAAGATTCTTTTTTGTACTCAATGAGGTTTGATTTGGTGTACCGAACTAATGAATGTGGAAATATCAACATATCATGTGTAATTGGAAAAGAACAATCAAGTATTTTACCGATATCTTATGAATTCAAAGAAGACTGTGAACGTAAGTTTAAATAATTTATTGGGAGAAATTATACATTTGAAAACCGTATTACACGATTGGATACTGTTTTTGAAAATGTATACGTAATGAAAGCAAGGGACCCCTGCATTTCGCTTCAAGCGCATGCTAATTTGCAATGGTCCTTAATATGCACGAAATAATCAATCAATCAATGTTATTGTAGTGTACAAAATGTATGTGATTAATCAATTTTTTTTTTTACACTTTTTTACTGCAAATATTGTAAATCAATATAATTGTGATAATTAAAACAAGTACTTGGTATCCCAAAATAATATTTTCTAAATGCTTGATAATGATCCAACAAAATTCTTTTGACATACATTTATATATTTAGATTATATATTATCTGCGCAAAATGCAAACTTTTCTAGATATATAAATTACATAATGTCCGTCTGATCTATTTACTAAATCAAACATTTATAGCGACCGATTTCGTATTTGATAGTTTGATATTATAATAAACGATGCGAGACGAAAGTTCCTTTCAATTTGGTGGAAAGAAAACTCATCAAAGATACCAGGTTCATATTGTAGCGTTTCGCCCACATTTATGAGACTCATCGGTGACGCTCGAATCTAACAATTTGAAAGACCAAATAAAGCACGAAGTTGTAAAGCATTGAGGACAAAAATTACTAAAAGTGTGTTAATTTCGTATAATTTTTAGGTAGAAAGTCCTTAGGAAAGTAGATTAGGAGAACGACAACGGGTGCATATTCATAACCATTTGTGAAATGGACCTTCCATTATGGTAAACCAAATCGGGATGGCGACTAATATGTCCTAAGTGAGGAAGTAATACACAATGAAACAAACTTTAGGAGTGAAATGATGTGCCCGGGAAAATAAGCATTTCTTACTCTCTGCATGGTACCTGTTTAACATAGTCTTTTAACTATCTAGGCAAAATGAACTTCCTTAAATACACCGAAATGCAGTTTGAATAAAAGAATTAAACAATTTGTCTTTTAAAATAACATTTATTTGGGTGTTAATAAAAAAAAATTTTTTTAACAATTTAAGTCAAAGTGGCATCCTGTGATTTCACCCCTCACTTTATATACTTTGCTAGCCATTGACGCTATGATATTAACTACAATTCCTTTCCTAAATATTTCGCTTCTAAAACAGCAGTGCTTTTATTCATCGCGGAATTAAGATGGTACAGGACCTATTGTCTCTCTTCTGAATTAAAGGTCACATCTTACTGTAAACCACCAAGAGGAAAAGCCGAAAGTGTTTCCCTGTGTATTTGTTTGTAAAACTCTGTGAGTCCCGGGCAATTATGTATGTCGTTATGTAATTGTGACGCTATAGTTTACTCTTTTCCACGGACAATTACGCAATTTATAAATCTGCCATCAATTTAAAACGGAAAGTTCCTTATCAAATGGTAAAATCAAAAGCTCAAACACATCAAACGAATGAAAAACAACTGTCATATTCCTGACTTGGTACTGGCATTTCCTTATGTAGAAAATGTTGGATTAAACCTGGTTGTATAGCTAGATAAACCTATGTTTGACAGTCGCGTAAAATTCCATTATACTGACAACAATGTGTGAGCAAAATAAACAAACATAAAGGGGAAAATGTCAAAAATTGGGGAACAGCAGTCAACACTGTGTTATAATCTTAATCACTATAAAAACAAATAACTATTTCAACAAAGGAAAAAGGTATATAGGCACTTTATAAATTAAAATGAAAGACGAGAATACAAAAAATGACCATAGCACAATAACACAATGACGGGATGTCTAAGTACCTAGCCACGCCTAAAGTATATACAAAAAATGAAAAAGACTAAACAGTAAAGGTTAAAATTATATATGCACAGACAAATAAAAAGAACACTATAACACGTAATTAAGATGATAATCAAAATCAGTACCTAGAATCTATACTTAAAGACCATCATGTATAATTTGTGAAGTTGACAACCACATGTGTTCAAGATTGCCTTCGTCTAGTCTAAGAGATAAATTCTGTTAAATGTAGTAATACTCTTATTACTTTTGTAACACACCAATCCATAAACATTCCAACCTACGCCTCATATTATTGAATCTTGTCGGATAGAGCACCCAACAACTTCGATTCGTATGTCACGATTTAATATTCCGTTCAAATGAATTATAGCACACCTTTAATTTCAAAGTCCTCAACTGTTTTAGGAAAAGGGTATATCTTGTTTCGAATACTGAAATCTGCATCGTGCTAATCAGATGTGCTCTAAAGCCTATACTTAGTAATAAATGACCAGCTAATTGCAATAGGGCAACTAAACGTAACAAAGGAATCTTACAAATGATGATTGTTGATACTTAACTTATTTCAGATTCAAATACAGATAGTAGAAATTATTCTGAAATTGAAATGTAAGTAAGAAATAACGCTTTATTTGTTCCCCGAGTTTTATTCCAAAGTTTTCTATTTAATAATATTGTTTTGTTTGTCCCTTTTTTATACGCCGGATATTTCTTAGACTTCTCACTTACGGAATTGGGTGTAGGTTTGTTTATACAAGTAGCCATCCGTTTTTCTATTTAGCCATTTGCAGATAGGTTATTCAGATTTATTTGACCGCAAATGTTTTTGCGGTCGTATGTTATGACGTTGTCAGCGTCGATGTCGTCGTCGTCGTCGTCCGAAGAGATTTATTTTCCAGACAACAACTTAAATATAAGTCTATGGATCCCTATGAAATTGTACTACAAGATTCCATACCACAAGAGGAAGGTTTTGGATTGATTTTGGGGATAATTGTCCTGTTTAGAAATTAGGGGCCAGAAAGTTTTTCTTGTTTCAGAACAATAACTTGTGTATAAGTGTATGGGTCTCTATGAAATTATACCACAAGGTTCCATACCTAAAAAGAAGGTTCGGATTGATTTTTGGGGTTATGGGTCAAGCCGTTTAGGAATGAAGGGCCAAAAAATGGGCAAACAACGAGGATTATCTGGTTTCAGGACAATATTAGTATTAGTCTATTGATCTCTATGAACTTGTAACTCAAGGTTCCATACCAAACACACCGCCTCGGTGGTCTCGTGGTAGCGTGTTCGCCTCGAGTGCGGGAGGTCGTGGGTTCGAACCCCGCCCGGGTCAAACCAAAGACTTTAAAATTGGTATTTGCTGCTTCTCCGCTAAACACGCACCATTAAGGAGTAAGAGTAGAGGCTCGGAATCAGAATAATATGTTCGGGTAAGGAGACACGTCTTTCTGTGAACTGTTACCTAGCACGTTACAAATCCGGCTCAGCGTGTCGGTCTAGTACAAAGCAGGTTAAATAGTTATATTACATTAACATGTTCTCGTCCTGAATATGCATATTAATTTGCCGATGGACGTTAAGCAGCCATCCATCATCATCATCACCATACCAAATAAGGAACGTTGTGATCGATTTTGGGGGTTATGCCCCTAACTGTTTGGGAAAAAGTGGCCAAATCAATACTTTTCTAATACTTTGTATCCATTGCTTATTTCTTGACCAATTTCAATGGGGTTTGATTCAAAGTCTTGCATTCTTGGTGTTCTTAAAATGCCCGTTTTCAAATTGGCCCAAATAAAGGTCCTGAGGGTCCAAAATTCATTTTTTTTAATAGTTAAAAAAATGAATTCATGGGGGTTCTTGATATGCTGTATCTTACTCTGTATACAGATTTTTTATAATGGGACCAGTTTTCAAATTGATCTACATTAAAATCCAAAGGGTCCAAAATTAAACTCGGTATGATTTTAACAAAAAATTGAATTGAAGGGTTCTTTGATATGCTGAATCTAAACATGTATTTATTTAGGGCTCAGTTTTCAAGTTGATCCAAATCAGGTTCCAAAATTAAACTTTGCCTGATTTCAACAAACATTAAATATATGGTTTTTTTTTTAATATGCTGAATCTAACCGTGTATTTAGATTTTGGATTGTGGGCCCTGTTATCAAATTAGTCCACATTGAGGTCCAAAGGTTCCAAAATAAAACTTTGTTTGATTTCATCAAAAATTAAATTCTTTTGGGTTCGATGATATGCTGATTCTAACCATGTACTTAGATTTTGGATATTGGATCATAAAAGGAAATGTCCAATTTCAAATTGTAAAGTTCTTACACCACATTCGTTCTGTGTCAGAAACACTGTTATGTCAAATATATAATCTCAATCCAAATTCATAGCTGTATTGCACAATCAATAGAAATTATAAGTAGAGTCATTATTAGAAATAGATATAACATCAAATCTAATATCAGAGAAGAAATTATGTATCAATATAGTTTGAAATATACTATTCATGTTAATATATTATGAATATAATTTAAGGTAAGTTTTATAGATTTTTTAAAGACTTTGTATTCAGCGGGACCCTTCAGAATGAAAGTTTCATATCTTCTCTAAATTATAAAATGATAAAGTAGAGCTGTAAGTCTGTCATCTCATGCTGATAAAGGAACAGATAATATTACTTAACAAACAGATATTTAAAACAAAAACTGAGTTTGTTAACATGTAGATAATTATGTCCAGTTTCTGATATTACCACTCCAGGACAGGAATAATGAAGTTAATTGAAATTTTGTTTATTTAAACATATTTAGAACTAGTCATTGGACGTAGATATTAAAATGAATGAAGGAAAGTTTGTGTTATATTAATTCCCAAAACATAAATTAATGTGTGTATTTGATTGGTTTTTTTGTTATTCTTTGTTCGTTTTATTTCAATCTATTTCACGAGGGCCTCAGGGAAGATAAGTTTAAAAGCTAACTGTATAACCATCTATGAATAAATAATTATTATTAAATGTATTATTATTATAATTATTATTATTTAAAAAAAAATGAAATGTTATTTTTCTTCCTATAAAACCTACACACAATTTGTATTACATATTTACATTTGTAATTAACTAAATATTCACAATAATGAATATGGATAACTGTTGTGTATTTACTTTTAAGTCATTCATGCAATTACCACCTATTATCAAGAAAACAAAACATGTGGTATTCATCAAATAACACACTTATAGTCAGAGTGACAAATTTATTTGGTTATTTGGCATCTATTTTTGTACTTTTGTAGCCATACTTAAAAAGCAAGTTCGAAAAATCTTAATGTAACAGAAGGGAAAGATATGGCCAGAAATAGTGTTTTTACTAATGCTTCATGTATTTTTTTGACTGATAACATATAATGAAATTAGGTAAAGCAAAAGTCAATATAGTAAGTTTGATGCTTTCATGAGTATATAACCACTGATTCGAACCCAGTTTCGTGATTTTTGAAATTCCCTCTTTCCTTGTATGGATAGAACTGACTTTTGAAAGTAGTTACATAAATCCGAACGTTAAGTGTATAAAAACAAAGAAACAAAAGCAAAATAAAACGTTATTTAAAAGATACGACAGGGGCTGTTTGACTTAAATTTTATACATTATTATATACTTTAGTAATTGATGATATGTGCTAAATAACTAAAACGATCTCTGAAAACCTTTCTGTTATCTATTTGTTATGTCTATGATTTCAATTGTATTTCAGTGCTTGTATTATAGCAGGAATTGTAGTTCTAGTAGCAGTGGTATTTGTCTTGTTCGTTTTTCGTTGTTGGAGACGAAGGGAAAGCAACTTCGGATCTGAAGGTAGTTTTAATATAAAAAAAAAAAAAAAAAACCGCAGGATTTTAATTGCCATTTTGAGTAGGTCAGTTACATTATTAATGTGAAACAACCAGTTCTGAGTTTTTTCATTGTTTAATAACCTGGATTTATTTGATGCCATTAGTGGTGCAACTGAAGCAGTTGGCTCAATTGAACTCTGCATGTCAAACTAGTCAATTTTGTGTCATATTTTGAAGTTCAAGTAACCCATGGCTAGTAGACTCAATCGAAATTGTCCAGTCCGATTCTTTTATATGGCAGTTCTTATCCATTAACAATACAATATGCTTTATTTAAAAACACTCCGTCACATTGACATGTGAAACAAGAGGTAAATATATACAAAATACAATCACATACAATCATAGAAATAAATAGACCAACTTAGAAATGAAATATATTAATAATTACTTTACTTTATAATATTTTCGTTAACTTTGAAACGAATAAAGATACATTTTTAAGTACATTAATATTAACCAATGATAGTAGTCCTTTCATTTTTGCTGCACTGGGATATTTAACATAGTATTCTGGAATGTGCTGATTTGTGATACTTTTTATTAATACAGAATTGCATTCAAATAAATAATGATATTCATTACCAATAGCATTTAAACACAAATTACATGTCCTCTCGTCTTTTGGAATATTGTACCATCTACCCAGCTCTACTGGAACTTTTACATTACAGCATCTTAATTTTGAAATATATTCACGTTCGATTGGTGATAATTGTACAAGATAGTTTTCTAAGCCAAACATTGTTTTAAAAAGACCATAAAATTCTCCTCTGGATGAGTTGTCAATTTGACTATGCCAATTTTGAATGAATGCATCTTTAAGTTTTTCTTTCAGAACGATTTTTAGTTGATTTACATTTAATGGTAATTAGTAATGGTAACAATATTATTATAGGTTCAGATAACTAACTTTATTCACTTGATCCATACAGGACAGTTGATTTAATTGATTTAATTGAATTCTGAATTTCATGTATTCAATTAAACGACCATGAAAAGTTAATTAAATTGAATCAAGTGTGTTATTTTAAATTTGTGATAAATTGATTTTCTAAATCGGCTTTTCAAACGAATTTGAAACTCAACTGATTCAATTGATTATATTGCGCAGCAGTGCAATTGACGTTACCGAGATTGGACCATTTGTTACAATGTATGTCTTGTGAGTCAAAAAGTGTCCAGCTGGTATATTTAAAGGTTCGACTGTTCACACAGTTTATTAAATAAATTGCCTCAATTGATTTGATATAATTGACTCCATTGTACTTTGGATTCAATTGAATCTTATTCTAAAATGTGTTTCATTATTTAGATCACCTGGCCCAAAGGACCAAGTGAGCTTTTCTCATCACTTGGCGTCCGTCGTCTGTCGTCGTCCGTCGTCGTCTGTCGTCGTCCGTCGTTAACTTTTACAAAAATCTTCTTCTCTGAAACTATTGGGTCAAATTTAACCAAACTTGGTCAAAATCAATATTGGGGTATCTAGTTTCAAAAATGTGTCCAATGACCCTGCCTGCCAACTAAGATGGCTACCACGGCTAAAAATAGAACATAGGGGTAAAATGCAAGTTTTGTCTATTATTTTGAAAACCGTTATAAATAGAGAAAATCTGACTGAAGCCGAAATGTTCAGAATGATGAGCTCTACTAATTGTCTATATACGTCAAAACTGTCAGACGACTTTTTATAGGAGTTATTGCCCTTAAATGACAAATTTTACCATTTTTTTTTCATTTTTGCCTATTATCTTGAAAGCTATAATAGGTCAAAGAAGCATTTAATTGCAAAAACTAATCAGCAAGACAAGTTCTACAAATTAGTCGACATGGTCGAAATCCTCAGTCGTCTCTTTATTAGAGTTATTGCCCTTTGAAGATGATTTTTACCAATTTTTTGCGTGTTTGCCTTATATCTTGAAAATTATAAAAAATAGATAGAAACTTAAATAAGCAAAAATGATCAACAAGACAAGTTCTAGAAATAAGTTGACATTGTCGAAATTGTCAGTCGACTCTTTATTAAATTTAATGCTCTTTGGTGATAATCTTTACCATTTTTTTGCGTTTTTGCCTTATATCTTAAAAACCGTATTAGATAGATAGAAACTTAAATAAGCAAATATTATCAGCAAGACAAAATCTACAATTCAAACAATAATGAGGAAATCGTCGACGACTCCTTATTGGAGTTATTGCCCTTCAATCACGATTTTTAACACTTTCGGGGGGTTTTGCCTTTTATTATAAAAATTATAATAGATAAATAGACACTTTAAATCACAAAAATGATCAGCAAGGCAAGATCTACTAACAAGTCAAAGTTTGCCTATATAGTTTGTAGACTGCCACTCTTTATAGGAGTGATTGCCCTTAAATGAGGAATTTTTTACCCTCTTTTGTGTTTTGAGCAAAAACTAAAGAACATGGAGAGAAACTTAACACACTAAATGATCAGCAGTACAAGATCAACAAAACAGAATTTTGTCATGAATTCAATGTTGGAGAGAGTCCTTTGTTGAATATGCACATAGACGAAGGTGAGCGACACAGGCTCTTTAGAGCCTCTAGTTTGTTTCAGAATCAATTGATTGAATTGATTCGGTTGAACGGTAGATTTCAATCATCCCAATAGTGCTTATTAAATTCCCATAATCCTTTTTATTTATCATACGGAAGAGTTCAAAGTGGTGAAGTTAATATGAGTAACACCACCCTTGTTTCTCCCTATTATTCTTTGTATATTTTGCATTTTTCAAAAAAAAAATGTGCAGAATTTATCTTTGTGTCAAATAAAGAAATACTTTGCATAAGTTAGTCTTTATCCTGTCCAGTACTACAGTGAAAACTTCACATCACATTTTATTTCATATAAGATAGTAATTATCACCGTCATTAAACTAATGAAATGTTCATCCATTTGTTACCTGTTTACAAGCTTTAGTAACCATGTCACTTCAAGTTTCTGAAATCTGTTATAGAAAAACCAAATAAAAAAAAGAATGGTGCTTTGAAACACCAAAGATATATGTTTATGACTCAGAAATTGGTTTCTGCACTGAAAAGCCGGGTTAATTTCTTAAAAACGTCAAATTCAAGGGAATACTTTTTTCAACCCTTTTTCGCATGACACGTACAGGATATGACGTACTATGAGTTGGTGGTATAACACATTAATCATTTCTTAGAAAATGTTACGGATGCAATCACGAGTTACTTGACCATTATGGAATATCTGTTTCACATTTGACGACGGATATGTTCTAACTGTCATTACCACAATCCCGACGTCTTTTCCTCGAATATGACCTACCGAATAAAACTTATCACTGGGTTTGTACTAACATGAGCAACATAATGGATGTCACCTGTTGAGCAGGACCTGCTAACCCCTTCCGAAGCACCTGAGATCACCCTAGGTATTTTGGTTTAGTTCGTGTTGCTCAGTATTGAATTTTCTATTTTGTGGTTTGTTTACTGTTGGCCGTTTTCAAATAAATAAATTGTGTCAATTGAACATCCACGATCAACTAAGTGAATAGAGTACAGGTGTTATTCTGTTTGCCATTAGTTTTCCATCGGGGGTTTCAATTAATGACTTGTGTCAATTCACATTAAAGAGTTGAACGAAATTTAACTCCAGTAGAAACAGCAATATGAAACCCCCTGTTATCACAACACCAGGTTAATTTGAAACAACTGAGGCGTTTCACTTGTTATAAAACGATTTCGAGTTGCACTTTGTTTTAATGATTATGCCGATTGACCAGAGTTTATCAACATAAATGACGTCATTGCACAATCTTACTCTGACGTTATAAAGAAAGCATTATGACATCGGAAATGAACGGGAAAATACGCGAAAAGAAAGTCATCTATAAAACAATAAATGCCTGTCGCTGATATGATGGGTTTATGATATCCAAGTTTTGGCTACTATATCCCAATTATTGTCATTCATGATCTCCTCACACATTGTAAAACGTGTGGTTTCTTCGTGTAAATACGGCATATGCAACTGGATTCATGGGTTTTGAAAGCCATCAACGAAATTTAAACCACAATTACTTCCTCTGTCGATCGGTTTTAAAGGGAATTGTTAAAAACTTCTTCTTAATTTTTTAACGAGATTTATCAATCAACTCATTACATAAAATGTACGTTTTAACATGTACAACATAAATAAATTTAAATTCCATATGAATTCATTAATATTGAATATAGCACATTATTGCATATTAGAAACGTAGGCCTGATTTTTAATAAAGAATAAAATCTTACTATTAACTGTTATTGTACAAGAAAATGAAGAATGGATATTTAACTTATATTTGTTGTATCTTCATAAGAAGGTTTTTGCTGTCAGCTAATGTGGCAACTCTAGGTTTTAATGAATTGAAAGATGATTAGAATCACTAGATCCATAAAATATTCAGGATCAAATAAGGAAAAATGTGTTATTTATGATATTATTTACTAGTATTGGTTCGTTAATCGAAATGTTGCATATAACCCCCCCCCCCCCCCCCCCCCCCCTCTCCACCAACCCAATCCAACCCAACCCAACCCCACCCGAGTTTAAGAAAAGTCAGTATGTAGACTGATTTGACAATATCGTTGGATTCACCAATGTCTTCAGTGTTCTGAACAATATTATAAAGGGTTCAAATTTTGACTGCACAAGATGAGGATTTCATACATTTCAAAATGTTTCTTGTAGGATTAAATACGAAGTGTTTTATATAATGTCAGCAGCCTAGTTGACATATCAATCAAATAGGTTTCTAATCAATTCAAACTTTTATTTTTTGTATATTCCCCGAGTACAATAGTAAGAGCGGGGGAGGGGGTATGTTTTCGGGTATCTCCGTCCTTCCGTCCGTTATTCTTTCCCGTATCAGTTTAAAATATTTGATTATGGTTAATAACCATGAAGTTTGGTCACTTTAACTCAAAACATAG